CCCCCCTCCCCCCTCCATCGAGCATTTATTTTATTCATGCAGCTTTTCAGTTCTTTTACGGCGCTCCCGTCCATCTTACCACGCTCTATTATGCCGTCGTATCTCGAAAAGTCGTCTCGAAGGCGAAGGAGCGTGAGTCCATTCTAAGATTGCCACACTGAAAAAAAAATCTCGATGTATTTACTAAGAAAAGGGTAAAATTACCAAGAATTCAGGGTTCTATTTGATCCAAGTTTTTCTTGTTAAAATTACCATTTATGGAATTGGTAATTTTACCGAGAAATCTCGGTAAAATTATTGACTTTCTCGGTAATTTTACTGGACCCTGGTAAAAACGCCAACAATCTTTTATCGGCTGTGGTAGAATTACCGAGATAAAATGGCAAAGTTACCGGGAATTACCGGTTTTTAGGTAAGCTTACCAGTCTGTCTTGGTAAAATTACCAATAATTGGTAAAAAAGTGAGATGGTAAAAGTACCAACGGACCTTGGTAAAAACGCCGAGAATTATTTTTCAGTGCAGATTGACTCGAACAATTAATTGATTTTATTGCAAAAATGCACCTGTGCAATTTTAATCCAAAATTTTTTTAATCATTGCATGAGACCTGAGGAAAAATCAGTAAAATTTTCAGTTTGATATGCCCAAGATTTTCCTTGTTCCTGTGAAATTTGCGAGAGGAAAGTTCGCAGCATTGAAATGAAGTTATGTTCTTACGTGGAAGAAAAAGAGGTAGGAAAACAGCAAGAAAAGTAGCAAGAAAAGGAGATGAGGGAGGAGTAAGAAAAAGAGAATAATTCCTTCTCTCCTGACAGTTACGTTTCTCACGAAAATTTCGTTCTGCAATCGAGAATTTCCATTGGTTAAATTGGCAGAATTTTTCATTCGACGACAGAAACTCTCTTATATGCCCTTTGCACACATTGCAATTTTTAAGTTGAAAGTGGGGGTCATCAGTGCATCGCTCATCGATGACCCCCACTTTCAGCAAAACACTTGCGACGTGTGCAAAGGGCAATATCTGAAGAGGCGAAAAAATTTCTCAGGAATGCCATGGGTGAATTCTCGGGCAATTTTGGCTGTTGAACCCAACATGACATCCGGTGATTCCTAGAATTCACAAACCCCTAGAAATTTCGTTTTTCTGTGAGAACTGAAACCTGGAAAATCCTCTCTTGCATAAGAAATGACGGATTTAGCGCTAAAAATCCGCCATGGTACGTTTTTCCTGATCCTTCCCTCATTTGAACTATACTGCCTTGCTAAAGAGGAACGCCGTATGAACATTCGAGAATTACCACATTTCCTTCGATAAAACGGTTATTTTTGCGGAACGTCATGAATATTTTTCCATGAAATTTTCAGGAACTTGAGTTGAAATTGCGGGCAAAATTATCTGAAAAATTGGAAGGAAAATTTTCACAAGTTCACCAGGAAATTCGTGTTCTATCAAAGGAATTTTGGCAACGCCTGAAGGTTCATACGGCGTTCTTCTTTAGCACGACACAGTAGGCCCGTGATATGACTTTCCATTCATTTCAATATTTATTGATTTGTTTATTTTCTTCCAGTCACTGTAGCAGTCACCACATCAATATTTACCAGGGCCCAAACAACAGTAGCCACCTTCTGATGACCATCTGCTCTGATAAAGAAGAAGAGCTCGTTTTCTCAGGGCCTCATCTTTTATTTGAGTTCAAGTAAGTTCATTCGTCGCTCTTTGTGTTTTAACCACTATACGATGTGAAATATATTAAGTGACTGCATGTTAAGGAATACACTTTGTGTGCATGTCATATTCTGAAGATTCTGAGCATATTATAGGTACCAGAAAATCCCCTGGATTTATAAAAAAAAAAAAACCCGAAAATTAATTAAAGAGGCGGAACAAAGGCCGGGCCTGCTCCCCCTTCCTCCGCCTCAAATGGCGCGTATTGACAGCACAGATGACAATTTATTGAATAATTAGATCAAGGATCTCACCCAACACGAGCGTATTCAAATCACGCGCCACTGAATGTATGACCGCTGTTTTGACCAATCACAAAGCTGCATTAATGCGTCGCACTAGCGCATGCCGGCGCATGCGCACTTGTTTCGTTTGGGTTTTTGTTTTGTAACTCGCCATGCTTGATAACAGAACCTAGTCCTAGTGATAACACAGCTTTTCTCGGTTACTCAATAATTTTACAATTAGTAATAATAAATCGTGAAGTTTATAGTGACAATAATTGTTTGTTAGTTGACAGCACGCCTAGAGACATTATTATTTCACCATGCATACAAAGTATAGTGGCGTAGCGTAAATGGCATCTCTTTGCAAAGGTTTTCCTCATAGACCGCCTTTGAACATGAAGATCATGATATTGTACCGAGACATGATAATGAAGACTAGAAATTTTCTCCTTTTCACAAAGTTTATCAGACAGGAAAACAAACCTGACTAGCACTAAGAACCATGATTAGTTTCAAGAATTATGTGCTCCATTCAGGTACCAGATGACCGTGTCAATCAATTCATTTCAATCCATGATCAATCCCTAAATTTTTTTAAATGAATAGGTGCCGATTAAGTATGTTGCCTCAGCCAGTAGTAACCAGTCTGTTCCAGTTTTTTTTTGTGCCTAATGACACTGCTTAGCCCTCCTCTAATTTTTTTCGCCAACATTCAGTCTTCTCATAGACTCACTTAAGTAGTGGCTGCATCATTCTTGCGGAATTCAGAATATCTTATCTCGGTGTTAAATGGCCCCTATCAACACAATAAAACATAGCTTCAAGTCGGAGTTTTGTGTTGAGTATTTACTTACCTAGTTGTTTCATTACGCAATCCTCAATATTAAATCACTAAGATGTTAATGACTTATCGAAGACAAGTAACTTTGATTGCTAAAACACTCAGATGCCTTCACCCCCTTGCCTTTAATACAGTGAAGTTATGTATCGGTTTAATCAGAGCCTTCAATCAGCAATGGAACATGTAGAATGACATAGCCACTGAATCATTCTATCCTAGTCCCACCTTCTCTGTGCTCTACTTCTTGTTTCAAGTCGTAAATTTCCAAGTAACCTTCTTTTCTTATTTTAGGGGAGGTCCCTCAATACCGCCTTACGACTACCGAGGATTTCTTGCTTCTGTTTCCTTCATCAAGAAAATGATACCCACAGTGATGACGACTGAAACCACTCCAGCATTAACGACAGAGCTGCCATACACTGCCAGGAGTAAGAATCCTCATTCACTTTAATTTCACGTAATTGTGGCATCCATCAAACACTCACCTGTCAAAATTTATGTACTCTGCCAATATAACCATTATCATGTATCGATGGTGAAAGTACCAGACCACTTACCTTGGTTTGCGATGTTGCAGTCTTTTTGTCATACTTTATTTTTTAAATGAAAAACTACTCAACGTCAATTCTTTAATACCTCCGTGATTTTTCTTCTCTGTATGAAAAAAAAATCTGTGAAAATGTCAAGGAATGATATTGGTTTGTCCCTCATCACAAAAATAAAATGGGAGCAGCGATTTTTAAGCACTGCAAATGAGATACACGGTCTGGAAGTTTCACTGTCAATATTTGTTCACCAGTAGTGTTGCAAAGAATTTTAATGAACCATGCGGATTTAGAGGGATACTAATGCTATGAAAATATGCTGAACTCCAAGTATGCTGCATCAGCCTTCTCTGTGAAGCTTTTGCCTATCTCTTTGAACAATCTTTGCTCTTTGAACAATTTGATGGTCAAACTTCAAAACCATGTCTTCGGCATCAAAGACCTCCTGTTACACTCAATTTTTTTCTTTTGAAAAGTTGTCATCTTAATTTCTTGAAAACTTTCTTGATTTCTCCTCCTGCTTGTAGAATATTCTGTATGAGGGTGGTTTCACGATAACTGGAACAGTTTTATCGCCATAACAGACAACACATCTTGGGTCATATTTTTAGTAGGAGTGATATAATCACTCTAATTTTTTTGCATTAATCTTCATAGGGTTACGTGTGATAACGCTTTTCAAAGATTTATTGCTTTAGGTACTTTTCAATTTTAATATATAAATGGCGGAAAATGTGCTGTCTGTTACGCTGACTTTTTTACCGCCTAACAGACAGCACATTTTCGGAATTTACATACTATTGATTGAGAAGTAGAGCAATAAATATTAGAAAACATTATAATATATAACCCTTTGAAGACTAATGCAAAAAAATTCGAGTGATTATCATTTCTACTAAAAATATGACCGAATAATGTGATGTCTGTTACGGCGACAAAACTATTCCAGTTATCGTGAAACACCCATGAATCTCAAGCTATACAGTTGGCCTGTTTCTCTTCAAAGAAATAAAATAGGAGTGGACATATTGAAACATTGTAATGGAAATGCATGGTTTTGCACTTTGGCCATCTAGTTGTACCCACTTCAACAAGTTGCTAGTGAAATTCTAATGACACAAACCAAATAAGGTGTTTCAAAACGTAGGTAGGTATACATTTTATATTTCTGAGGGAAAATTTCAGCCTTGATGGTGCAGGTCATGGTTGAGCAAGTTTGCTGCCAGCACTAGGTTCCTGAACTAGATTCAATCCTGGGAGATTATGGACTTTGAAGAACATTTTAAAGTCAGTCAGTTGATGGATCACCATTGGATAATTTCTGTGAGAGGATTAAGTTTGATTTTGGCTTACTGCCAACCCTCATCACAACAAAACAATTCTCTATTGGGGTGACAGTGCACCTACAACCGAAGGTTTTCATGTTGGTAGCAATGATTGCCACATCCAAAATTCTTGACCCAACTCTCATCTAATTATCACCTGAGGCATTGTGTCCGTCAACCCAGACACCTACTCTAATAGAAAACACCAACATTTTTGTCTAAAAATTTTCCTAAATGTTCTTCGTAAAGTGGTGGAAATTCCAAGAGGAAATATTGGGTTCCTAATTTTTCCGGAAAAAATTAAGTGTCCAAAAATTTCCTGTATCACAAGCTGAGATGGATCCATTTATTAAGCGTTACCTACCTATGCAATTTAGTCGATTTGAATATCTGGTTGCCCAAAAATATATTCCTTCTCAAAAGCACTTTCAAGTAAGAAAAAAAGGAAGAACAGGGGGAGAAAAATGAATGAGTTTTTTACTTAAATTTGTTCTCACTGGATCATATTTCTTTATCACTGTGAGTCTCTAGTCTCTATTCTAGAGTCCTGCCTTGGAAGAGTTCTGTATCAGCATTCAAATGTCGCCAAATTTCCCTCAACAAAATATTTATTTCTGTGGAAAGTTATGCATAATTTTTTTTTTTAAAGTTTTAGATATTTTATATTAAATGGAGAACAAAGTCATCCAGAAAATTTGAAGGAAAATACAATTTTCCATGTTAATTCGAATTTTATTTGAAGATGTATGGCAACGTCTGAGGGCGCATACAGCGTTTTTCCATAGCTCGGAAGTATTTTTCTCGAAACAAGCTTACAGTGCAGTTAGTCATCAGATGGAGAACATTCTAATTGTCGGAGAAGTTCATGCCTCCATACCTAAAAATTCTTGTATCTTTGAAATCAAGAACTCATGAAAGTGTTGCTTTTTTTATTTTTTTGGAAGTATACTACTTACCATATTATGTGTTTTTTTTTCAGTGGAAAGTTACGGTAATAATTCACACAATGGATGTGGGATCCAAATTCTTGCTAATGACTCGAGAACAGGTCACTTTAACTCCCGCCCTCTGGAACACCATCGTAATTGCTCCATTGTTTTTGTGGGCAATCCCAACGATATCGTCCATCTTTCAGTATTTAATTACAAATTAAAGTAAGTTCTCTTTGTAATGCCCTGTGCCTGGTAATTGCTTTGTGCCAGTAATTCTGGAATAGAAACGTTTTATCCACTTGTGGCTCAAGTGGATTGGATATGGATAGAACTAAAATGAATCCTAATTTACCTTGAAAAAAAAGTTTGTCCCAGGTGTGCAAGCTGGAAAGATAGAGACGTCACATTAAAAATCAGGGAATTTTGCAGGTTTTTTTAGGAACTTTAGCTGGTGCCATCGGAGAGAGCACAAACAACTTCAAAGTGCCTTTTTTCTCAATTTAACTCTCCAGAAGTTGAGATATCTTCCATTCAGAAGTCAGTGCAATCTAAAGAAAAAAAGTCCAAGTGGAGGTTTTGAACGAAGACCAGAGAAAGTCTGAGAATATTTATATTTTGAAGTCAGGTTAAAGCAAAAAAGGTCAAAGAATCGGAAATTAAAAGAATTATAAAAACTCTAAATGATCTTGTAAAAAGTTTGACAGAGCCAAAGTTATCTCTATTCAAACTGTGAGTTAGGTACAGTATGATGAATCAAAGAAAAATCACAGCATTAACGCAGAGAATAATCAAAAAACTTATGGAAACTCCAAGATCAATTTCAGGTAATACAGCTCATAGGCATTGCACCTACGCTACAACTGTAGCTCTCAAAAATGATTTATTTTTGGTGAAGCCTCAATGCCTATTAGCTATATGCTTCACTCCCACCTTCTGTTATTGCTTAGTTGTGAGCAAGATAATCTTTTAACTGATGTCCCTAATCAAAGTGCAAAAACGTCTTGACCATACGACCGGCCGGCTGTAAATGGTTGCTTGTTAAAATGGGAAAATCACAAAAAGAGGACTACGTAATGAAAAGTTTAAATTGCGTCAAAAATCACCTATTTCTCGTAAAATCATAGCAATAAAAAAATAAAGAGCAAAAAGATTAAGATGGGAAAATTCATCACTTTGAAAATTTTGAGCAAAAAAGGGTTCACAAAGAAGAATTTCTCTTTTGAAAAATAGGAAGACTAAAAACTAGCTGCATCTTTGGTAATGTGGTTTCTTTAAGATTTAACCTTGTGAAATTGGCGTGGCAACCAAATCCTTCTGTACTTAGATTGTGTAGTAGGTACTTATACTGTGCCTTAAAACTGAATTTTGGCAAAATACTGCATAAATAAGAAGTGGCATATGACATGAGGACTACAATCTTAAATTTACTTTAAATTAACCATATGAGGACATTCCTACCAGTGGAAGCACTTAAAAATCACTTAACAGTCTTAATGAATGACTAGTAAATTTCATGCAAGCAAATTTCTGGAAATCAATTCATGTTAAAATTTACAGCTAGGATATCAGTGGGTAAGGTTGAAAGGCACAAATCTATCGGGGTGTTTCAACAGTCCTAAACTCCTAAGTCATTTTTGTTCTGTTTTTTTTTTTTTTAATAGAGCTGTATCTCGTTACATATAATGTTTCTCTGTTTTTCAAGTCCTGGTCAGTCATTCCTCAATACAGGACTTTTCAAAATAATATTTTTCTTTTAATTTCTCTTCAAAAAGGTTACACTGAGATAATACTGTAGGTATTAAAAGAACAAAATAATATAGCAACCTAAGATTCATTTTTTCACCTTCCACACATGGAAAAAATTCTTAGAAAATTTCAAGGAAAAAGTTCATATACTTAGCTCTCCTTTAAAAAGGTAAAATTTGAACAGAAATTTACAACGGTGCAAATGAAGGCTTGCACATTTCAACTGTAGCCATCGATATCCTCCTTTTTTCAAAGAAACAAATGCTACCCTCTACTGTCACAAGTTTCTCATGATTACCACTTTGTATAGAATAATAATTTTCTAATTTGAAGCAACAGTCTCTCCAGGTAGAAACTGTTGTCTCTTGGTTTTTTATACTTATATGTTTTTCTCTGTTTCTCAGAGCACCTGCTTGTCAGTCGTATTTGGAGCTGTACGACGGACCGATAGGAGGAAATAAACCAATGAAGCGGATTTGTAGCCCTCAGACAAAACATGCCCGTGATGCCAGTGGCAAGTAAGTTATCCTGCACCATCATTTCGGGCACCAATCTTTTAGTTCGGAAGATACTGTCACCTCCTATCTGTCAAACTTTTCAACGATACCCACTCTTGAAAATTACTATCTTCTACAAGCAGTGACAATTTTACCAGAGAGGCAGGCTTCATCCGACTTGTTAAGGAAGGAGATTTACATTATTTGACTACAAATTGAAGGAGAAAAAAAGTAAAAAAAATCAACGAGAAAAATGGTGATGTTTCAGGGTCAGGAGGTGAACATAGCTCCCTTCCTTTACAACTTTTTGCTGAATTGAAATCTTATTTTAGAAAATAACCAATGAGAAGGCCTTCATTGAGTTGCGCACCATATCTAGTGTTTGTATGGCCATGGCAAAAAATCTAGTGCAGCGTTCGTTGAAGTAGGAGCTCTTGCTATGAATCAACGGGACAAAAATGCATGCCTTTTCAGTCTCTATCTCGTAAACAAAGCACTTTACAAGGAAACTCAAGAGACCTTTTTTCTTCAAGAACTCTAGAACAGTCTAACTTACATACCAAGAACATATTTTTATCTATGTTAAACATAGAGGAAAAAAAGTAGTGGCACAAAGCATGACACTACGTATCCATGAGAGGAGGTATACTCAATGGCTCTCTCTAACCTGTAAGACAAATGTAGGAACAAAATAATAAGTACATATTTTCTATTTTTTTTTTATTTTTTGAAAAGGAGGGAATTCTGCCAAAGAAAATTCGAACCAAGAGACAAAAAATAAAAACTTTAACATTTCTACTCTGGAAATGAATTTAAAAAATATAATCAAATTTAAAGTGGCAGCCATCAGGAAAGCATGGCTTATTATAATTGCTCAATAAAAGAAGTAGATAGGTAGTGCAAAGCGCTGCAGGGTGAGGACCAATTTTATCCGCAATAATGTAATTTGTATTTTTGTCGTACACAGCTGTTTAAGTAAAGTATAAAAAATGAAGAATCGAAATTGTGAAATAATTCTAAGAAAATATAAAAATCATGTGCGATTCTCAGTATTTTTTTATGAGGATGGTTGAGCCACTTGTGAAAAGCACAGTCTTTTTAAAAAAATGATTTTCCTTGAAGTGTTTCCACCGACAAAATGTGTCCCAAAACAGCTTTTCGGAGTTGAAAAATTCCTACATTTTCCAGGAGGCAGCCCCCTTTCTAGATCCCTCCTAGGTGCAGCAGTCTCACGAGGCAAGAGACCTCTGATTACAAGGAGAATTCCTATTAGCTTATCGTTACAGGAAAACTGATAACATTTTCAGTCAAAATTTTTCTCAGCACCCAAAAAAATTATCTTAAACTGCCATAGGTATGTAGAGAGAAGAGCTCAAAATCAGCCTAACAAGGTAAGGAAAGCTAAAAGAATGATTTTTAAGCTTGCACGATCCACTATTTGCTGACCACACTTGTTTGTGTGGACAAGGGTTGGGACAAGACTTTTGAGACAGCCTATATATCTATGAAAATATGAACAGAAATTTTGTATTTTTTCAGTACCTACAGAATCTGATGTTCATTATTAATTTTTTAATATTTTCAGAAAGTATGTCTTTTTGGATCCTCCTCAAAAGATGGTATTCTGAAATGAGATTTTTACTTTTCGAAGAGCTTAAATGCCAAACAATCATGAGATCTGGAATTCATGACAGATTTTAGGAACGAAAGCTTGTGAAGTTTTGGTGCTCATACTTTTCGAAAAATACTATGTTCATATTGCATCACTCTTACTCCGAGTCATTGAGGGCAAATCATAAATGCATGCTTTTGCATTTATAATTTCATTTTTTAAACAATTTTTTCAAGTACAACAAGCTATCTATCCATGTAAATTCATTTTTTTCAGCCTCATGTGAAATGAAGAAATTTTCCTGCTTTGGCTTTTATTTCTAGGCCTTTTTTTGTACTCCTCATCATTTGCGTAGCAATATTACTCATAGTTTATTCATTTAGTTCTCCTCTAGAAATCCTTGATAATCAGTTGATGCGATTTATTTTTCCAGGTTTCACTCACATGAAACTTTGATGTCTTCAGGGAATACATTCTCTATTCTTTTGCACCGTCTCTTGGGGGAAACTTACACAGACGTAGAACATATTGATGGAGCGTATGCCTTTCATGATGGTAAGAATTTTTACTTCAATTGTAGTACTGCCCTAGAAACAATGCCCGTTCAAAATCAAAATTAAAAAAAAAAAAAAAAACCTGAGCAACTGATGGGAAAATTCAACCCTGACGAAAATGTCAATCTTTGATGTTTTGTAAAGCAAGTAAAAGTCTTCATAGACGAAAAGAACCTATTTTTATGAATTTTATTTAAAAAAAGCCTTGGATTTTATGCACATTTTTCAACATTTTTAATTTAGTACTTAATTTTTGTCGATTTATGAGAAGATTACGAAAAACTATCTTGTAAAGTTTTATTTGAAGTTGAGTACACTGATTAGTCTAAAAATTCACTAGAATTCAATGTTAATTTTAAGGTGTGTTACAAGATTCAAGAAATATTTTAAAGTGAGCAGAAAAGTAATGTGAAATTTATTTTTCAGTCATATTATATAAAAATTAGTGATAAAATCGCTTCTTCAAGTTTTTTACTAGTTTTTTTTGTAAAAAAAAATTAAAATAGAAAAAGAGAAAATACGCAAGAAAAATAACGTGCCTAAACAAGCTGTGAAAGAGATGAGCAGATTATGGAGGTATAAATGTCTCCTAGAAATTCCAGTGTTTGGTTTTGAACAATAAGATTCCCCTTCAAGATATTTTCAAGAATCTTTCAGTGATGTGACGTCATCTATGAACACCAGGAAATTCAGAAAGTGTAAAACGAAACCCTTCTTCTGATGTAAGATAACTCCATTTAAAAAACACAGTCAATTAGTGCCAAATCAAGCTTTTATTGAGACCAAAAGTTACTGAAATCAAATGTTTCGTTGGTCTCTTGACATTTTCAAAATGAACAATGTGATAAAACAGGGTTCAGGTTAATTTACACTGATTTTCACAGAAGAGAAGCTGCTTATGTTGAAGAAAAAAGCTCCAATTTTTACGAGGCTAATATTTTAAAACAGGACCTGAAGGTATTATTGGACCTGTTATACCAGAAGAATATTCAGTAAAGTTTTTTTATTGAAATAATGATTATCTGCCAAAAAGCCATAGTACAATCTACTTACTTTATCGGTTTTTTACAAAACATTTCTTTTCATCTGCATATTACAATTAGCTTAAAACTAGCACAGATTTTGTTTTACTCTTGAGATGTAGTATCTAGGATTTTTCTCGTCCCACAATCATAGGTCATGGGTAAATATAGTTTTAAGACTGAGAGTCTTTGAAAACAAATTTTTCGACACAACAAGCTTTTACTGTAATTATGAATGTCGATCACTTTTTTTTAGAGCTTATGTTCCAAATATTTTTTTTGAAAATTTATTTAAGTTTAAGTCATCACAGTTTTTTTGGACTGTATTAACGGCCACAACGTGAAATCATGCACCTTTGTTTGCAACAACAAATTATTTGTTGTTGCATGTACCTTTGACTTCCCGTCATACTTTATTCCTTTCTTGGAAAACTAGTGTATGTAATAATTTGAACATTTCTGTGATTTTTCTCTCTGTTAGCAGAAAAGGTACGAGTTTGAAGCTATGAAGTTGACTCGTCTCTCTTTGAAATAATAAAATAGGAGAGAACATTTTGAAACATTTCAATTGAGATTTGTTGTTTCACACCATCAATATTATATGAATTGGTGCATTTTGTCATTTGTAATTTAAATCAAGCCCTAATGCTAAATCTGTGTTCATTTTTCAGAACAAAAAGATGGTACATTAGCACCGGACACTCTATGCAACACCGATTATTATGGTGAAAACAGCCTATCAAGTGGTCAGATAACGAATCCTGGAAACCAGCAAATATACTGGAATGTTGAGGGTCGTTTAGTATGTGCACATCGCTTTATACCAGCTCTCAATCAGAGCATCACGCTCAAAATCACAGCACTCAAACTGTCAAACGAACCTGGGTGCCAAACTGAATGTGGAGACGCTGGTTGTCGCTGCAACACTGATCTCGTGTCTCTCTCCCATGTCGATCATCTGTTATTCATGCATGACAATGGTGCCCAAATTTCTTGCCTTTGTGGCAATTTTCACGAAGACTGGCTACCCGTCTCTATCAGAAGTTGGTCCCCATTGAGGCTGGTCTATTCCGTAGCTCACTACAGTTGGACTGCTCAAGGATTTAATTATAAGACTGATTATTCTTTTAATTTAGATGGTGCCTGTGGTCATCATGTCATAAGTAATCACTCAGGTTCTTTGCATTCTACACGAATCGTTGGAGGAGGTGAATTAAATTACTACTATCACCAAATGTGTTCGTGGACTTTAGATTCGAATGTGGATAGACAACTAACTCTAGAATTAGCGACATCTCAAAACCGTCCTTGTACAGCGTGGAATTTCACACTGTACGAATATTCAGAGGGCTCGTCAGATCATCTAGGGCCCATCATACATACTTTCTGCCCGCGAGACAAGCACAAAGTGTATAATCTTGCTTGGAGGCTCAATGTTGTTGTTATCAAACTGACAGCAATGACGAGGACGCTCCCGCAGTATTTCATAAAATGGCAGTCACAAGTCGTGAGAGCAAATACCCGAATTTCGGGGCAGACATCCTCAATTTTATCATCTCCCTCATCGTCCTTCTCGCACGCAATGCCCATTAGTAGGAGCCCTCTTAAAGCCATTTTTCTAGTATTTATTGTTAATTTACTGAGTTTGCACTTTGTATATAGGTGAGGTCACTCTCGTTGAAATTGTTTGACAAGAGTTGTCAAACTTATGTTTGTACATTCTAAATTGTTATTGCTTGGGAAAAATCAGGGTCCCTTTGGATTTTCAAAAATATTTTCTCTGTAGATATGTTTCCAAAACAGTCCAGCCGTTTTTTTTTTTTGTTAAAAAAAAGAACCCATAAAACACGAAAGAAAAAGTTCAGATCTGGGTCAAGAACTTGCAGCCAATCGTGATAAGATTTTTGCAAGGACCTACAGATTGATGAGCATACTTGTTACTTAGATTTTTAAGTTGAAATATACCGAAGTATTAAAAACAGTAGTTTAACTATTTCTGCACGAAAATTGCGAAAGTAAGTATAAATATTAGCATATTACCCTCTAACTTTTTTCAGACATCCTGATTGAATTATTCTATGTGGAGCGAAAAGTTAATGAAAGTTAAAAATTGAACAGTCACAATAGTTAACCAATATCAGAGCACAAAATTTTAGGTACTTTGCTGAACATCTTGTTTCGGGTTATTTAAATTTTGTTTTTTATGGCCCTCTCAAAGAAGCTGCATGATTGGTCATCACTGCTTAACGAGTATGTTAGTATACAGCTCTACCGAAGAGAGCAGTATCTAATGCTCAAATTCTCAAAATTGAGGTTCCCTTAAAATTTTTCTAATCCAATTTAGGTGAACTCACTGATTCAATTAGAGCAAGTAAATTTGTCCCCCATGTACAAGAACAAGACCTATTAAACAAAAATTGACTTTGTTTCATGCAAAATAGCAGTTAATGGGCATTAATCTACCTCGCAGCTGTACTTATTGAGTGTAATGGTGCCCTTTTCTGGCGATTTCTAATCCTAAAATTTGTTTGTTGTTAGTCCAAAATGCAACCGTAAAAGCATGCAGAAGATAGTACCTACAATTGTCTTACCTAACATGATAATGGAAAAGGCCCCCCAGATACAGTCGAAATTGAATTTGCCGATTTTTAATCATCAAACGATTTCCAAGAGTTTTTTGGATGATCGGTGACAATATTACGAAGGACGGAGGCTTTTTTCAACAAAATTTTTTCTTCAGACACTACTAGGTCTATTCTCTCGAATCTTCATTTTTGCACTTATTTTCTTTAGTAACCCTGTATTTTCGTGTGTAAATAGCAATAGGAGCTATTTAAAATTATAAGGACTCAGATTTGAGATGTCTTCGTTTTGGAGACATTGGGCTAATTGTTGAAATTGATAGACAGAGCTATGGGCAAAGAAGACAAAAGGGATGTAGAGGGATCTTATCGGTGGAAGTGAGTGTTCGCGATAGATTAACTAACGGCAACCCACGAGAGACCCTACAGTTAGTCCATTATTTTCTCCCTTAGTTTACAGGAATCGACCATTTCAATCCAAAGGATCGCTCCATACTCCCTATGTCCTCTTTGTCTATCAATTTCAACAATGAGCCTACAGAAGAATGTTTCGTTAAAAAATTATCACTTATTCTCTCCTTCAAAGATATGAGCGTTGCTACAAACTCTGTTTATATTAAACGGTCCACAATTTTTAACTATGAAACTATTTCTCCTAATGATCGATATGAAATTGATTGATTTTGATGTAACTGATGAGTTATAAATAGAAACTCGTTAATACTGAATGAATAAGAACCAGGATCAATAATTTTCAAATGGAATGCAAAGGTTTTCAAAACTGCAACTAGCTCATGAAACGTGAAAGGAGGACCAATATTTTACCCCTCCGTGTATGGCTTGGTCAGAATTTAAATGTTACGATATCTGTGATTTCTTTTAATGTAGAATTTTTCTTTGTATGCTGATGTTTTTCTGTATTTGTAAATTCTTAGAAGAAATTCGATGGCCAAAGTGCAAAAATATGTATCTCCATTTGCAACGTTGTAGACTTCCTGTCCCACTTTATTTTTCCTTTGAAAAACTAGTCATCGTAATAACTTGAAAATGGAGATTCGTGGTTTCGCACTTTGGCCATCAGATCACCCAAGAAAGTGAATTGTTTGGCGAATCATCAATTTCATTGCCACTTATAAATTTTTCTAATGTTACTCATTCAAAAAAACAAAAAACAAAAAAAACAATGGAAATACAGTGAAACAGTGAAATACAATGAAAGACAAACATACAATGTAACAGTGAAAAAAAATAATGAACCTCCTCCAGTTTTTTTTAAGTTGGTGTGTGGTTGCGGACAAGGAATAGTTTGATTTCAGTTCTTTTAACTATTGTGAGCCCTGCCTTGCCAAGGAGTAATGCCGTATGAACCTCCTAACATTGCAAAATTTCCTTAGAAAAATCTTGAATTTTCAGGAAAATCGATAGGAACATGTCTCCAAATTTTCAGAGAATTCGGTTTGTAATTTGAACTAAAGTGTCTGCAAATTTAAAAAAAAATGTTCATATCCTAAAAAATAAATATTTTCTAAGAGGACATTATGCAACATTCGAATGCCCGTACGCTGTTTTCCTTAGCACGGCAGTGCACTGATGCTGTTGCATCAATTTTATGACACACGCCTAATTAAAAGAATCTTATCTTCAGCTTAATATTTCAATCATTCCAAAAAAAGATGTATGAGTAGATGTAACAGAGATAATTTGGACCTGTAATGTATGGATTTTTCTTTTAAATGAAAAACACTCAAAGATTTACGGCAGAATATTGAATCCCGCTGTGAATCACTGATTTTCCTGGTTTTTCGACAAAAAGGAAAATTTACCAGTGAAATATTTTTATTTTTAGCTGCTCTCAAAAACAAATGTGACTATTTTCAGAATAATTCATGTTTGGGGCTCAAAATTACTGAATTGAATCGCAACTGTAAGTTTTTCACAGGCTCAGCTCAAACACTCAATTTATTCTTTGGGATACTTAAGGGTGTTGTGTGTTTAAAACTCCATTTCAGAAGTACCTCTCATAAATGTTACTTTAAAAAAACTGGAAAAGCATTTCCAGGGTTACTTGTAGTCTGGGAAACTTGGAAAGTCAGGAACTCACAGCAACCTGGAAAAGTCAGGAAATTCATTTGAAAAGTTAGGGAAATTTTGCAAGCAGCATTTAACAGAAGGCAGCATAATTAGAAGGAAAAAAGTCAAAATGGAAGGAGAGTCAGGGAACCCGACAATATTTGAATAAGGGGAAAAGCGAAAATAGTTTAGAACAGAAAATGAAGAATTTATGGAAACCTGGAAACCCTGGTTTTCCGTCTATGTAAATTTTAACATTTTCCTGAAGGAGTTGTCTTCTAAAAATAGACAAGTTTATTGTTAAAAATTTTTACTTCTGGGTAAACGGTCTTCTTGAGCTTATGATCTTCAGTTAGAAGAGACTTACAGGCACCATTATTAAAAAGAGGTATGCCCATCAATTAAATTCATGTTCCATCCAACATCTTCACCCATTGTTTCTTAGCATACCCAGGGATATCACAGAGAAAAATTCCTCATTTTTTAATATTTCATACCTAGCTGTTTTTAAACTAAAAAAGAAAAATACATGTTAAAGTTTGTATTTAGGCACTATTAATTTTAGCTGACAGAATTTCCATTGTTGAATACATTTTTAAGTGCATTTTGTCTTTTGTGTCCCTATGTAGCTTGTCGGTTTAACTCCCAACAAGATAATCTACCTGTGAGCTGATTATTGAAATTGACAGACCAAGCGATGGACAAAGAAGACATAGGAAGTATGGAGAAATCCTATTGGTTGAAATGGGTGGTTCCTGTAGACTAATCAAGGGAGAAAATGACGAAAATCATGAAAATTATGGAAAGCGGATGATTGAAATAGACAAAGGAGGTACGTAATAGACTAACAACGGCAAGCGATGCGGAACCATATAGTTACTCACCATTACGTACCTCCTTTGTCTATTTCAATCATCCACTTCCACTTCCACTAATAGGATCCCTCCATATCCCTCTTGTCTTCTTTATCTATTGCTTTGTCTATAAATTTCAATAATCGGCTTTCTGGGACACACCATGTAGGAAGCTCATCGTAATTGTCTTTTCATTTCTTTTTTGCATCTGTAAATGAAATTTATATTTTGAAATAAAATACATGATTAAAAATATATCTGTGTAAGTATAATTTGTTAAACAAAAGAGCACCCCAGTAAAAGCTTGTTGCTGAGAAGTTATCCTTTTCTCAACATTAGCTAGTGAAAATCATGAGCTAAATAATCAAAACTCTATTTTGCATTTTTCCTCCATATTGACGGTAAAACTCTAATGACATATCTCGGTTTGCGAAGTTGCAGACTTTCTGTCATACTTCCTGACAATGTCAATCCTTGAAAACTTCCATGATTTTTCCTCCCTGTGCAAAACAAAATCTGAGAAAACTTTGAGGAATGATGTTGGTTTGATTTCTTATGAAGAAATATAACAAGAGGAGACATTTTTTAACATGGCAAACGAGATGCGTGGTTTGAGATTTTCACAGTTGATATACTTTATTTCTGCACACACCTGAGAATACAGCAGTTCCTGGCTTTCTGAAGGTGCAGTGTTGAAATTAAACTCTCATAGATGATAATCTTTCCTATTGCTTAAATGGCTTAATTATAGCGAAGTAACTTCCGCGAAGTGCGTAACAGTTTGTAATGTAATGATATATGAAGCTCTACTATTTTTCCTCTAATTTTGAAATAAACAATTTCCCCTATTGTAAGAAAACGGAAAGGAAACAATTGAAACTTTTTGAGAGGTTTTAATGTAAGTATTATGAAGGAAACAGATGCCAGAAAATTATTTTGAAATTCACTGTAATAAAATTGGATTTGCTTTTTACAGATGCTTCTTCCAGATTTCACAATTTTTCACTAAAACGCATTTACATTTTTTCGATAAATTCTTTTCATTCTCCACGCATTTCCTGAAAGGTTTCATGGCATTCTTGACTCAGCAAGTTAAACTAGTCATCAAAGGTATCTTTAAACATAAGAGGATCCAGTTACATCTATCCGAAGGGTGGAGGGAGAAAAGGAGTCTATGGAGAGGAAAATTCTCGAATTTTAAAGCACCTGATAGGCAATTTGAGTCGATTTTGTCATTAATAATGACCAAATATAAATATTCTTCTTTCTTTCCTCCGTTCCGGCTTCTAAATAAATGGATATTGCACATGTTACTACCTTCTTCCTTTCTCACCTTTTTAATCTCTTTTTTCTGGGCGGAAGGGGGGGGGGTGCTCGCTCTTTCCGCCCCCCTTGGTTCCTCCAATTCCTTTAAAACTGGCACAAAGAGTGAGGTAAAACCAGGTTAACTGGTGGTGAAACCAGACTTACTCTATCCCTGAAACTTTTTTACGAGCGTTGAAATGAAGATTATTTGCCCTTCTTGTTGGTTTTTGTGACAGTAATTAAAGCTACAAATCATCAGGGGATCATAAGCCTTGCAGTGCACCCTAAATAGGTATTCAATTCTGTGAATCTTACACAAGTTCCTGTTAGTAATTTAAAATGAAGACAATATTGTACAATAACAAATTACAGGTCAAACCAAAGAACACATCGAAATATAATGATGCCACATTTTTTTCATGTGTGATGATACTTTTTAAAAGATTTCTAAAAATTAAAGAAAGAAGTAAAAAAAGAAACAAAGTAAAAATATTATTTTTAAAGACCACTGATGTCAGTTTGAGGATAAACTAATTGTATCATGAGGTGGCATTTTTCACCTCAGAGTTCTTCATATGAAGAAACTGACCGTTTTTTTACCTCGTATTAGAATTCATTCACATCATGTACATCCAAATAATTTTGTCTCAACCAATGTGTAAGCATATCCACTTCTGCTATGATTTTTTTCTGTGCATTTTTGAAGATTGTGATACCTACTTGTGATTGAAAACTCACAGCAGCCCTCCCTGATCGTCAAATAGTGAATTAACGTACTTGGCGTATTGGCAATTAACAAAATTTTTGCCTCTACAGTATTTCTGGGAGTTTCCACTCCGCTTACGTCGGAGACACTTAGGTCAGTGCCACTTACATCAGAGGCACTTGCCTTTGGAACAGACTTAGGTCTGTTAACCCTGACGTAGCAGATCAGCGCCCGGCAGCACTGACATCAGTGTTTAGGTCTGTTCCAAAGGCAAGTGCTACAGATCTGAGCACTTGCCATTTTTACCAGGGGAGTGGTTGATTCAGCATAACGATATTGCAGACAATGGTAAGAGTATACCGCTTTGCTGAATTAGCATAACCACAAACTGCTGTTTCTGCAATCCAAAAATTTTGCAGCTTTAGGAAAATGCTTGGCGGAATCAGCAAACCTCTTTTTTTAGAATGAACCAAACATTCTTGCTTTTTTATCATAGCGTTCGACAGACCAGGAAACCTTGTTTTGCAGAACTTGGAAGAAAAATTTGTTGCTTCAGCAATTTTTCCCCCCGAAATAAGCAGAATCAGTTTGACTTGACGATTGAGCAAGTATAGTGATAGAAATTTAATTTGCAGTTTTGCTCAACTGGCAAAATGTGTTGTCCAATTAGCAACCTGTTGATTTTGCTGAGTCAGAAAATTGAGCTGCAGATTCAGCCATAATGATTCCCCCCCCCCCCCCCCCCNCAACTTCTCCCATCACAGCTTTCATTGTAATCTACTTAAAGTCAACAAGTTCATTAATAGATTGACTTTTTTCCTCCCAATGTATAGCCTACTAAACAAACATTAACGGCCTGGATGTTTCTCTTCAATAACTATTTTGCGTTTATTTTACTTATATTTTTTGTCAACTTAATTTGAAACTAATTCGTGAAGAATGGCAATACATTTTCTATTGAAAATATGACAAAAAAACAACTCAAACTTATTTATTGAACAGAAACATCTTGTTAATGTCTGTTGGATGGGCTAAGAATACAGAGAAAAAACATCAATCTATTGATAAACTTTGTATTTCCTCTGTAGATTACAATGCTACCTGTGATAGGGAAAGTTTGAAAATTCAATATTGATAAAAATACAGTTTAATTTGGTACGGCCGGGTGTAAGCACAGGAAGAATAGTCACTATTGTGAGCTACTTAATGCAAAAGTATCGTAACTCCATTATTTCAATGTAGCAAAATTTTTGTGGACACATCACTTAATTCATAAACGAGGAGCAATTCCTAATTGAATAAATGAAATTATATTTAATTATATTAATAATAATATATTATATTAATTCTACTAGTAATAATAATATATTAATAATAATTATATTATTAAATGAAAGTGACTTGCCTCTCTACTTTCGCACAAGAGGAAAGTGGGGAAAAGTAAACTCGCTTCATCACAATTTGGATACACACTTTCAGTCATTTTCAAGGAATGAAATTGATAATTGCAGATGGGGCTTAGGTAAATGCTGTAGATAAGTCGAAAAAAATTATAAAAGAAGGGGAAATTTATTAAAGAAAAAAGAAATTATGAAAAATATGACACAGTAAAAGAAAAAATTACTTGACATGAAGTCTTCAGAAAGAATGTAAATCAACCGCTATGGTTACAATTAGGAAAAACTACAAATGAGAAAGAAAATATTATCAACCTATTTTTGGAAAAGGTTAACATCTGATTAGAAACAAAGCAACAGTGTCAAACAATTAAGGGTTGACATTTTGAAACTTACCTATTTTTTTCAAAAAGGAGAATGGAAATACTTTTTTTCTCTGTTCAAAACCTTCAAGAAATTTATGAAAAAATTGAACTCTTTTAATTATTAATTACAGCCAGATTCGCAGGACACTGAGCAATTCACATTTCAAAATATTCGATCAAATTTTAATAGTTGCAAACCCGTCTTCAAGGAGTCAAAAACAAGTTGTTAAGAGAAAATGGAGACACTAGCTTACTGTTGCTAAAATTTCAGATTTACTAACACAGTGCAATGAAAATTTTGCTCTGAGTATCACATTTCATCAGTCACATGATTTGGCAGAAAAATTGTCAAATTACAATAAATTGGCAGACCCACTAAACAGGAAAGGAACAAAATTACACACATAACATTTCCAATACTTCGCAATCAAGGCTTCAAATAAGAAATTGCTGTGCCAGCAACAATTGAAACAATTCGTCACTGACTACAAATACAGTACGGGGGGAAAAATAAAGAAAACCAACTTAAGAGAAATGAGAACTTTTAATCGGGAACACGGAGAGAAAAGTGTCAAGCACTACAAGGCTGTTATTTGGAAACATTTTTTTGGATATCTTCCTTTACTCTGGCTTTATGGCTTTATGGTCGGGACTTAATGGAATAGATGTGGTAAATATTGCACGATGGAATGGATTAAAAGAGTAACTTTGTCATGAGAATAAACCAAAGCTAATACTGCTACATCTACCAGATTCTGCGATAATTTTTTTTCCGCTTCTTTACAAAACGCATCCCAAAATGTTAGCATATGATTTTTAAAGCTTTCCGGATTCTTTGTCTTAAGGGAAACCCTACTCAAGAGAATCATAAGTTGGACTCCTTTTTTACTTTTTATTTCGTAAATCGTGACATTTTCACCCAGAATAATATAATGATGAAAATGCCCCCTCGGAAAGTTGTATTTGACAATATCTAGGATGCGCTCCGAAGGTGACTCAGCATCTGTCCCCGTCAGGGGAATTTCGTGAAATTCGTGGATATGCGAATAATATTCGGCCAATCGTTCCTTATGCCCTTCGAACGTCGTGTTCAAAAACAAATCGAGGGTCACATTGGAGGCACCCACGTTAATATATGTAAAAATACGTTCAAACGTTTCAATAACCTCTTCATTCGGAATCTTCACAGTGCAGTAACCACCTCGAGACTCGGAATGCTGGAATGGCGCTTCATATGTCAAGTACCCAGTCTGCAATAGGTAGGACCAAAAGTATTCTTCTCTGTCATAAATTTCTTCTAACAGCATGTCAGTTGTAAAAGGGACGACGATTACCCTCCTGTCTAGCAAAGATTTTGTTGTCAGTTGGATCTGGACATCATGGGATCTTACAAATTTGACGAAGCCGACGTAATTACCCGTTTCGACCCAATAATTATCCAGAACACCTGATAGCAGACTTTGGCTGACAGACCAGGGGTTATACATTAAATGGTTGCCCATACGGTACCCGTTGTATTTGTTTTTTAAATCGGTTAAAAACTCGGGTGGGTATGTGCCACAGGTTCTAACAAGGCTTTCGGTCTCTGCAGTGGTAAACCCAAAATACTCGCTGAATTTTGGGTTACTGATTGTTAATACTTCTTTATTGTTGAAGGATGAAGAAATGTCTTTTGAAATGTCAAACACGCCCATCAAAAGACCGCGTCGAACGGGAGAATCATCAGATTTAAACAACATTTGGAGCAAGCATTTTAGAATATCCAATAAACCCTTGTATTGTGAAATATTTCGTTCTATTAATGCATGCATGATAGGAGTATCATACTCATCGATAAGGACCACCACAGAATTCGTATTATTAGTTTGCTTTTGCGAGTGTTTTTGTAGATATTTGGCGAGGTTTCTAATTGCATCAATGTAAAACATGTCCCCTTGTCGTTCACCCGTAGTGACCCTATCGTAATAAACTTTCTCCCTCCGACTTAAATATGGACTATCTAATAAGTATGAATACGTATTATATAAGTTGCGAGTAAAGGAGCGGAATGTTTCATCATTGGACGATGCTCCGAAAGTGCGCAATTCACTGAAATCCATATAAAGCACCGGGAATTTCCGGTAATGCTCATCAAAAAATTCCCGATGCTTGATGAATATATTATATCGAGTAAAATCAATTTGGTCCGGGTAATTATCCCAGAAGAAGGCTCTCATCGCAGACAGCATCAAAGACTTCCCAAATCTTCTGGGCCTCGTAATCAGAGTCGCGAAGTTATGACTTGAAAAGATTGCTTGAATGCCGTCTGTTTTATCGACGTATGGATGATTGGATTTATGAACCAGTAGGAAGTTGGGAGCTCCAATGTTTGATCCTCTTATGATGGAATTTTCCCCACAATGTATTAATGGGACATCATCGAGCGCCTGAAACAAATACAAACTTTATATTAAAAAAAAAACCGGCGCTCCGCGCCGGTTTTTGGGAGGAGGGGGAGCTTCGCCCCCCAAAGCCCCCCCCCCCAGGACACACGCTTCGCGCGCGTCTTTTCAGGGTCGTCTGCACATCTAGTTTTTCTTCTTTTTAAGTGTCCCGCGCATCCACCGCGGGAAGGAAGTGTATTTCCCGAAGTGGGATTTTTGTAGTCATAAAATCGTACGTCTGTAAGTCATTTGTGTAATCGATAATTTTTTCCAGATATTTCTTTTCCTTGGGCCGCTGTGCCACGAACAGTTCTTCTAAAAACTTTCTTCACCTGACCCACTGTGCGACGCGCAGTTCGTCCAAAAGCTTCCTCTCCCTGACCCACTCTACGATGAAAATTTTGTCGAAAAACTTTTTCCCCCTGACCTACTGTGCGACGATCAGCTTGTCCAAAAACTTTCTCCCCCGACCCACTGTGCGGCCCTGTTCTGGCCAGCTCCCCTCATGCCGCGCACCCCTCGCCTAAAACTTTCAAAGCTTGCCATTTTTAAACGGCTCAGCCGATTTAGCTCAAATTCAATACCAAACCAGTCCTAGGGGAGAACTACCACCCGTAAAAATTTCAGCTCAAAATATTCATTTTCGCTCGAGTTATCGAGTGGACAAGATTTGACCTCCCCCCACTTTCAAGCCCCACCCCTCAAAATCTATTGCCTCAAATTTCAATTTTTTTTCTCAGAATAGTAGTTCTAATGAGTCTCTACTAAATGCAAAAAAATTGGTCAAAATATCTTTCAACGTTGAAAGATATTTTGACCAATTTTTTGAAAAATACACTAGAAAGAAAATATCTAAAATCTATATAGAAAATACTTAGAGTCTATATAGAAAATACACACCAAAAAAGGAAATGCACTAATACACATTTATTGAGAGTTTATCAGGCTACAGCGTTAGCGGACGCTTTTTCTGGAGGTTCCTTGACGCTGGTCTTGGGGGCCGTTCAAGTTTTACGTACGTAATGCACCTTTTCAGATTTTGTGACTAACATGTAACGCAGCCCTACATACTCCTTTCGAATTATATGTAATGCTGGACTCCCTCCCCCCCCCCCCCACAAATTCTCAAGCAAATCAAGAAAAAACTGAGAAAATAGCTTGAAAAATTCGGGTCTTTTTTTCCCCCCTTTTTTATTCAGATATTTCGCTGAAATAAGAGACTGATGGATTTGGGATAGAAGAGGGGGTAAGGGAGTGAGTAAGTACGAGTGCGACACGCATTACGTCGGCTGGGTCACGCGTCAAAAATTTTGACTCGACCAAGATGAACGAGACGAGTCCACCACCGCGAGAGGCTTCCTTCAATACTTTGACTCAATAGTCCAGTCAATCTACGATTTCACCTTGCAAATTTTGCAAACAACTTTCTGGCATATGTATCCCATCAAAAAACACTTCCGCACGGAAAAAAAATTGCTGATTCAACAATTCAATTGCTAAAAACAGTGAGTGCAATGTTTCAACGCAGATTTTACAACAAAAAATGCTTCTTCACGGAAAAAAAAAGTATGAGACACATACTCACGAATTGATTTAGATTTACCATACTGTGAGGTAAAAAAACGGCACAACTATACGGCTTTTCATAAGAACTATATCAATCATGAGAACTTCACCAAACACAGATCACGGTAACATGACCCATCGAACCCATGGTAAATCGAACTCAATTCCCGCGCGCTGCGTGACGTTTTCCCGCGCTTTGCATGCAGCGGTGCTCGTTACCCGATAGTATGGTAAACTTCCCTCCTAATTTAACGGTCACCTCTTGTGTTGTAAAACACTCGCTCAGATTATCATAGACACCTTCGAAAATAGTGGATATTTTACTTACATTTTGATTCGAAATTCCGTTACTCGGAAGCAATGGCATTTGAAGAAAATTTCAACGAGAAATAGCAGATAATCGTGTCCCAAGTTCGAATCGCAGGAATGAAACTGGGATTTTTCCCAGTTACTAACCGTTTCCGCGCGACGGGGCAAGATCTATCCATACATGGGTATCCATTTATCCAGATATGGGTCAGTCGTTCCCAAAACCAAAATGAGAATCTTCTGCGTAGGAAGTTAGTATTACCGGCGCAAAAGCCAATGGGAGGCGGCTACATATGTATTGTTGAATCAGTTAAATTTCTTAATTTTAAATTGTTTAAAACTTTTTGAGAGGCGAAAAGAACGTGTATAGACATTAGCTTTCAGGGTTTCGATTTGGCCGAATTTACCTTTTTATATTTTTAAATGATTTTTGGAGTTAGCGCTGTACGAGCTATTTTGTGAGACTCGATTTGTAAAAATGACTGCTCCAGAGTCAACTGTAAAAATGAAAAAAACAAAAAAAAAAAAAAAAAAACTAACAAAAAAAAACACACAAATTCGGCAAAATCGAAACCCTGAAAGCTAATGTCTAATCATTATTTTCGCCTCTCAAAAAGTGTTAAATGATTGAAAATTAAGAAATTTAAATCATTCATTAATAACAATTTGTATTCTCCCTTTAAAAAGGCATTGTTTCCGACACTTCTAGTTTTCGCGGCAGCAATAATGACGTCACGATCCAATGTACAGGGGCGACCCCGAGCGGGGAAATCTGCGCAATGACTGGCTTGTACTGCCGTGCTAAGGGAGAACGCCGTATGAACATTCGAGAGTTTCCAGATTTCCTTCGATAAAGTGTTTATTTTTTTTTTTTTTTTAGAAAAGCCATGAATATTTTTCCTTGAAATTTTCAGGAACCTAGGGGCTTCGGGGATCCCATCCTTTGCAGATGGTCGCACGAGCTGACGGGGACTCACCCTCCGCCGCACGGGGTCAATATCCTCTGCACAAGGTGGACTTCCACTAGGGTTAGTACTATTTGCGTAAAAAATCCATTATTGTATGAGCTTTACGTCTTTTATTTGCGAATTTGAGTACAACAGCACTCACCTCATACTGATGGAGGGCAAAGAGCGTTAAGATAAGGGGCAGAAGCTGCCTCATGTTGATACTATCAGCACCGGCCGGCGATCTCACAAACACTGAACAGAACAGATCGTGGAGGTCGTGGAGTGAGGCAGCCGAGATCATTAAGGTGGATCTACAGAAAAGTTTTCAGCGCTCCGCCACCACGTCGCGCTAGCAGTCAAAGAGGGACTACTATGGAATTATTTCCGTAAACCTTGCGCGCGTTCACGAAAAAAGTCGGCGCGTGAGCAGCAGAGTCGTCGCGTGAGCAGTAGAGTCGGCGCGCGCAAAGAATCTTCGCGCGCGCGAAGAAATCTCCCCGCGCGCGAAGTAATCTCACCGCGCGCGGAGAAATCTCCAAGGTCACGACAATACCTCGCGCGGGCGAAAATCTCTCGCGCGCGCTGCTACAGAGCCTTATCAAGGTCAAGACACGGCTGCCAAATGTAGATTTAATTTTAGTTTAATAGATATGCATAAACTGAAATCAAGTGGCATCGATAGTTTCCCGATGTTGCCAACTCATTTCGAGTACGATTCTTATTAGCGTTCACTTATTTCTGTCTTTTGTCTAAAGTGGAAGTTTTTTATATAAATTTCTACCAAGTGATCATATATATTGTCAATCCGAGCTAAGCCGTTTAAAGAAAGAATAATAAATAATCCTTTTTCTTCCCCGGGTAACCCTACCTGGCAGTACCTTCGACAATCGACTGTTACCATGCTATTACCAAAGACTTTTAAATGTGAATACCTGTTGATAAGTGAAAAGTCATATGATGCTATTATGTTGGAGTGCTTCACATTAATTTTCTCAAAAATCAGACCCAGCTACTTATAAGCCGCTACATAGACGTGCGACACGGCGACGCCCCCCCCCCCCCAAAAAAAAAAAAAAAATTCGAAAGAGGGTTTTCTTCTTCGTAAATTTTATCAGTTCTTTAAAGAGTTATTTAAGAACAAATGGGCCACTAAACGTTGTGTTTTTATTTAATATTCTGAAAAAAGGATGTGAGTAGACTACGTGATGATTTATTGCCTGCCTTTGGAGCCAAAATCCCAGAGGAGCCGGTGATTGGTACCGGATGACATCATTCGGTTAGGCGCGAGACTAGGGGGCGTTTTACATTTGCGGAAAAGTTGCCCTTAATGAATTGGGTATTTCTCAGTTTCTCAGTTACTGCTTCGCGTTTTAAATGTGGGCATCGTATTCAAAAGTAAAAATTCTTTCATGGTTTAGTAACCCATTGTAATAACAGACGTCGCATAGGGTCGAAGCCTTCATCGCCTAATGCCGAAAGTATAGAATAAGACACAAAATGCTAATAAATTAATCTTCATTGTATGCAAATAAAAATAGAGGGGAAACGTACAGTTCCGAAGTCAATTCGAACATTAACTTAACTGGCCGGAAAAAATGAAGGCGCAAAATGGAGGAAAAATATTTGAAGAGACTAAGGAGAGAATCAATACATACTTAAATAGCCTTTCGTAATAAAATTGAATGAATTGCATGGACGGGGGGACAGATATGTGATTCGCAGAAGTCGCGACTGTAACTAAAAAATACGTAAGTAGGTATACGCAGAGGTACTCAAACGAGGGTGTATGGGAATTTAACATGCTTCCTGTGGAAATTAAGGCATCATCATCAAAGAGAGCCTTAAAATGCCTTTATAGTTTATTGATAGACTTAATGAAGATGTGGTAGAAACTCAATGTGATGCAGTAGGTAGGTATATTAGTGTATTTTCCGGAGAAAATAGACTATTGCATTTTCCCATGATGTCGGGCCCAGACGTGAAACCTTGTGAAGAGCACCGATCACGGGTGGTAGATCACGAAAATATATGCCATTCAAATTCATGTGTACATATGTATGTATATATTTTTAAGTTAGTTTTTTTTTATAGTTTGCTTAAAAGAAAAAAGGAAAAAAGGGAGAAGAAAGGAAAAACTGGGAAAAGAAAGAAGGTTAAACGTATTATAAATTCAAAGGATTTCCGAAAGAAAACAGTTTTTAAATTAAATAAGTTAAAAATGTATGCACGTAATTAATATAATGGGGGGGGGAGTAAATTGTTAAGATTGTTAAATATTATAGGTATTAAAGAAATAAATAAATTATTAAATAAAGCATACATGAATCAATAAATTAAAAAATACATTAATTAATAAATAAATAGTAGTAGTATATAGAATTTATTCGGCTCCAAAGCATGTTTCGGCTAAGGCACCTGAAGCAGGAGGAACATAAAAATTTGGGAAATTAAGGAAAGAAAAACGGCACAGGAATAAAATACAAGGGAAATAATGTTAAAGAACTTCTGAGCAAAGTAGGATAAGAGAAGAAATAAAAATTTTTAGCTGTGGAGTATCAATAAATGTAAGGATTCTTGACTGCTCTTTACTAGTGAAACTAGTCTCTTTCATTTTTAATAGAGTACCTTGTATAGCGAGAGTTATGGACAGATCGCTTGATGGAGAGCTTAGGGCCCAAAAGTGCAGCCACCCTTCTGAGCAACTTCTAACACACGAAATTTCACTGCCAGCCTACAGCTTTCAATTCTAACCAAGATGGCCAAGAATGTACATAAATGAGCGTTCTTTCGCAAAAATAAGTAAAATTGTGCAAAAAGTAAGCCAAATACATGCTTTATAAACGACGGTTCGTAACAATTGTATTTGTAAATCGCTCTGGACATTTGAAATTCATAGGTTGGCTGCATTTCTGGGCCCTAACTTTATTCGCGGAGGCATCGGTGAAGGCCTGATGACTTTTCGGAGTTTCACATCTGTCTATACTCTCGCTATACAGGTACTCTAATTTTTAACAGCTTGGCATTCATAATGTTAGCTCCAAAGCGTTTCATGGCTGTAAGGAACGAAAAAGGAATAGGGTTTAACAATTTAAAAATTAATAAAAAGCCTAGGTTCCCTACTACACAAGGATTGCCATGGTGGAAAAAATCCATTCCTTTAGTTGCCACTTTCATTTTATTACGTATAGTATCTACATACTCTTGACTTCATTTCATTTCATGTAGGGAAAATAGTTTATTTTCGTACTTAGAGAATCGTATACATATTTTTTTTTTTTTTTTTTCGTTATTTAAATGATAACAGAATGTTACAGCGTATCAATGAGTTAACTCATATCGCATTCGTTGCTGTAAGAGTTCCTTTACTTACATTATTCTTTTTCATGAAAATTACATTTCCCCCTTCAAATATATACATATTCACATGTGCTCAGGAAAACACGTCGTTATTTTGAATCTCCCGCTGGTCCTATTCATATTTCCTCAGGGTTTAAACTGACATGGCAACTATGTCACTCCATCAATTGGTTAAACTTTAATTAAAAAGACGTTTGGCAACATACAACCTCGAGCCATGCGATCCTACATGGCGCGCGGCGGGTTTGCTCTCGCGCGCGTCGAGTTACACCTCGCGCGGAGAAACACTGACAGCGCGCAGCGATACCTATGTCGCGGGCGTCGAGTTTTACTTCGCGCGGAGGAATACTGGTCGCGCGCCGACTTTCTTTGTGAACGCGCGCGAGGTTTACGTGCTCCGCGCCGGGGGCGCAACCACGCGCCGACTTTTTTCGTGAACGCGCGCGAGGTTTACGGATATATTTCTATACAGAACCAGCAGAGATCGATTCGGAGCGAGTCGAAAATCGGCCGAGCTCCCGGGGCGTTATGCAACCCGGCAACGATGCAACGATGATGCATGGCAACCGAGATGGACTTTTGGCGAAGGTCTGCTGGGATATCGAGAAGAGAGCGTATCCGCAATGAAAAGGTACGCGAGATAATGGGTGTGGAGAAGGACATCGTGCACGATATCAGGTCCAAGCAGTTGGTCTGGTATGGACATGTGCGAAGGATGGCAGAAACTCGGTTGCCCAAGCAGGTCTTCGATTGGGTTCCTCCCGGAAGGCGACGGCGTGGAAGTCCTGCAGTGAAAGGTTGGCGACAAGGGGTGGAGGAGGAGATCAGAAGGTGCCAATTGCCTGATGATCTCTGGGAGGATAGAGGCAATGGCGATTGGGCTTCGCAGAGCGCGAGGCGGCGCTATAAAAGCGACTTTATGTATGTGTGTTTAATTAAAAAAGGGCGATCACTAAACAGAAAAAAACTCACCGATGGCAGCAAAGTGAGAGTTTCGCGAGAGGACATAGAAATCTCAGTTCTGTAACTGCCCGTGATCGCGCGCGTTAAACGAAACGATAAGCTGAGTAGAAAACCAAAACTCCTGCATTGCGCAAGGTATGCAACCTAGCATCACCGTCGAGTTTAAATAGTTGCCGTGACCCAACTGATGGCCAGTGTTGGAAGTTCGAGAGGGATATTATTTTTCGATGCGATCATGGGGACTCAGTTTCGTTCGAGGGAATGTAAACTTCGAAATTTTTCGATTTGATCCCTTCATTCTTAGCAGCTTCGGTGAGTGGGCCCATCTGCTAAATCCCCTATTTATACCCCAATTTTGAGGACTGTTATTGTTGAAATAAGTGGAAACGCAGTCGTCGAATTTTAACGCGAAACTCGACTGCGTTGCAATACTGCTGTTCTATAGGTTAAAATTCCACTTGAAAAAATACGTTGGCAAAGTTCATCCTAATGAAACAGGAATTTCCTGAAAAACTTGTGTATTGAATCTTTTAGCATTTGCATAGAATTTCATACGCATTTTTTCTACTTTTCCTAAAAATTTTAAGGAGAAATATTGACCACATGTTCTTTTTTTTATTATTCCTTTTCCTTTTCTTCTCCTTTCTCCCTCATCCTCCTCTTCTTCTATTCCTCCTCTTCCTGTCTTCTTACTGGGGATGAAAGCCGGCATTGTTTCCATTTCTCGGACGGTCATCCACGTATCCTCATACCTCGTGGTCGTCCAATCATACAAACGGCTAGCTTCTCATCCTCCAGCCCTATCTCATGAAATTCCTCATATCGTCGCCTTTCGGCCAAAGTGTCAGCAGCGCCATGCGACGTTTCAAAATTTCCGCCGCCGTTTCATTTTTTTACAGAGAAACTGTTGGTTGAATCCGTCCGAAAATTTCACTGAATTTTATCGGCAGCACAAAGAAAATTCAGTGAAATTTCCGGGAAAGCTTCGTTGAACAATGTCCCTGTAAAAAAATACAATAGCGGTGGAAATTTTGAAACGTCGCATGGCGC